AGGAATCAGTAAGAAAATCACCATGTTTTCTTTCTTCACTATAGGATATTAACAATTACACTTTACCTGTTTGGGCTACTCATGGTGTCAGGACCAAGCTGATAAAGCTCTCAGAATTGTTGTTGCAGGCGGAATTTGGGTTCCACAAACAAATACAGAAATCACGTTTGCAGGGAGGTAAGCTGAATTCTTACCCCATTTAAAACCTAGAACAGAATGGGAAAGAAGGATATATAACAAACATTGACACCGATTCTGTAGTAAAACTGCAAAAGATGCCATGATGTGGATATTGGTGATCAGCATGGAAAGATTTTGATTAATGGAAAGAGAGATGGTAAGGATATGAATCATTAATGTCTTAATGCAACATTATAAAGGAGGTATCATATTGATTACACTGTATAAGAAATCCAAAGTAATATACAGGTTCTTGCTGAACTGAATGAAGTCTGAATTTAATGTAAGCCACCATGCTTAAGAAAATATTATTTGTGTAATCTATAGGATGGTAACTTCTGTTGCCTAAATGTCTTCATATTCCATTACTGAAAGTACTAAAATGAGATTATTTAACTGCTTCTAAACTTTATTCTGCTCAGCAAATAGTAGCTGAAATTTAGGAATAGTTTATACCTTCTTTAATCACTCATTCTTTCTCCTCCGTTCATCCACTGTTACTTGGTTTTGTTTCATATGGACACTCTACATTCAGGAAGCACGGATCAGTTTGTTTGCTTTTTTGGAGCTCCAGCTTACAAAGCCAAGTACAAAGTTCAAACCACTGCTCTTGGTTTACTAACAACTGCTGTTTAAAAATGTGCCAGTAGCTGAAGACAATACGTGCCTAATTCTGCTAGCAGGGGCAGTTCTCATTTTAGGATTTTAATTTGTCAAGATTCCAACCTTATGCTAACATACTAGCACGGCCATTGATTTAATTCGTATTTTCAGTAGTTAACATTAACAAAACACAGACAACCACATAATTTAAGAAGGCCCAGAGTCCAATGGATATGCTCTTTCTCTGGAAATCATGAAGCCCATGGGCTTACACACAAAAGGCAGCAGAATGATTCATTACCGTGCTCTTCTTGCAGTGTTCTACTGGCACACAGCAGCTGTGAATTAACTGTTTGAAGCTGTTGAGGCTATTAGGGGTCCCCAAAACATTTTACATCATAGAAGTAAAATATGCCTGCTGTTCATATGAAAGATAGTTATCAGAATTAACCAGGGCACTCTGCACAAATTACCTGTAAAGTCAATTGAATAAACCTGGTGCGTTTAAAGACAGATTGTGCTAAAGCAGCAACAAGCGACACAGATGTTACCGCGAGCATTCCTCTCATTGTCACTGCTCCCCTGTTCTGTTTCAGGTGTTCTTTTAAGAACTATTCTAAAGCATATCTCAGATGCTAGAAAACCTTCACACCAGCAAAAAATGGTTATGTATTCCGCGGTGAGTCCTTTCTGTTTCTTTTATGCTCTTTTTCTGCGGTTATTAAATGCAGTGAAAGCTGTGAAACTTTATTTCCTTCATGAAGTACAGCTACAAGCACTTTTTATTTGGTTAACCTTACATATAATTGGATTATTAACATTCTCCAATGAACAGACCCTACATGAAGCCTGCAGCATTCCATTTTTCACCTGATGTCATGGCTTGTTTCATTGTAATATTGTTTTGATCAAGCAGAGAACCGGAAAACATGACTCATGTGTTATTGAACCATGCCTTATTTTATTGAAAGTCTATCACAAAGATAATTTAGAAACAAACCTCCTGCTTCCTGCATCTTTTTCAGACAAGAAAAATGAAGTTCAAGTTAGTTATTTTAGAAGGTCTTATGAAGGCAGCTACTCAACTGTTTTGTTTAGAATGCGCAAACACTGTCACTGAAGAAGGAAATTTTGGGTTTGCTCTTGGTAAAAAGCTCCTATTTCTAAGCTGCAGTTAGATTATGACCTATCAATCCCGTATATATCAGCCAAAGAGCTAAATTATCTGATCTAAAATGCTCTTTCCTTAACATGCAAAGCCACTAGTTCTTTTTAGAAGTTTTAACAGCTCCTATTAACCTCAGTAAGAAGTGCAAGCAACTAAGACTTCTTCAATATTTACAGGTATGTATACTTTACAGAGGTAGCATTTCAGTTTGTACAGCCATCACGGAACTGCTTAATGTTACAGAGAGCAGAGGGCAAGCATTAATGAGGCCCCATCAGTAATGTAAAGTGGACAGGTAACAGATAATGTGCTGGACATACTGTTAGATAATAGGTACGTGCAATCATTTTCAATAGGCCTTTAATGAAAGGTTTCTTCTATTTACAGCACGCAGCCACCATTGCTGCCTTACAGATGGCACTCAACGTCTTCAACAGGAAACTGCCTCCTTACAGTGCCTGTCATTTTTTTGAACTTTACCAGGAAAAAAACGGGCAAGTATCTGCAAGCTGGACTGGGAACATATCATTTTTCTAAAAAGCAAGACCCCAGATTAATTAAACTGGATACAACAAGGTTCACTATGCAGGAAAAGATTATAGATTTATTGGAATCATTATAATTTGACTCAATTCAGCAGCTATTGACAGCACTGCAGCCTGAAAACCCTCTATATATTAGTTCATTACAGTAACGAGAGGTTTTACTCTACCCTTTTTATCTATTTAACTCCTTGACTCTCTCCCAAGAAGACAAACTACATGCAAATTGCTGTTGACCATCTATTGTTTAAAAGATCTCTTCAGAGTATTAATGGTACATACTAACAGCCAGAAAAATAAGCTGGCTAGAAGTTTGTCCCAAAGTACTACCACTACATCATGGAAAGTTGGGGAGGTTCTGCATACCTAACTTTTGACCCTTCTGTATTTTGGAACAGGCAATACACCATAGAAATGTACTATCGGAATAATTCTCTGAGAGATCCTCACCCGCTCACTCTCCCTGGCTGCAAATTTCGCTGTCCACTGGAGAGATTCATTCAGTTGGTCTCCCCAGTCCTAGTACACTATTGGACAAGAGAATGTAGGATGTAGGACATAAAAACAGGTAAGTTAAGTGCTTTGGGGACATGCAGCCAAAAGTAAAGGCAGGATTACATCTTCTGCCAAGACCTCACTTGAAGTAACAATCATTTTCATAAGGGTCTGGTATGAAATAAAAAATATGCAGGTTCAGTGAGACAGAATTGTACCCATTGGCCATAATTTCTACTCCATTGATACATTTATCTATTCCAGCCCAACTTTCTGGTGAAATAGAAACTGATAAACAACATTATCCATTCCCTTGATTGTAGGAGACATTCAGAGATCAAAACAGATGAATACTGAATACTATCCCCAACTGGTCCTTACCAGAATGTCAAACATATACAGACACACATTGGCATACTAACACATTCTCTGGTAGACTGTCTCTATCTCAATATTAGGATGTCTGACTTTCCATTTTGACCACTAAATGATATTATATTTGTGGAAAGAAGGAACACGAAGGCAGATAATTACATTCTCTCTCTTGTAGCTAGCTCTATATTCTTTAAGGGAGATGAAAAGCACATAGGCCCCAGGATTCAAAAGTGTCCCCACTTTTTTTGATGATCAGATGTTCTATCTAATGTTAAAAAATACCATATGGCTTTCTGAATCACTGATCTCAAGAAGAATTTGAAATGTCAGTGATCAGAAGAATGCAGGCAAGCCAACTCTCCTGCTTACAAATAATTTCCAGTTCAACGTCTGGAATCCATGAACAGACTGGAGATAGTTTAGTCAGAATGAATGAAAAATGAGCAACTAATGTTTCACTAAATACATTTCTTCACTATATTCATTGCTCACAAATTCTCAGGAAACGTATCAGGAAATTACCACATTTAATTGCAAAAGGTAATTAATTCATTAGAGGAAGGAGAGGGTTGGTTCTGATGACTTTTTCTGGCCAAGCAACTAATTCAGCCATGGAAGACAGTGATAAGTACTTCATGTTTATACTGCAGTACTTAGTAATCTAAGTCTTGTGGAAATTAGTTTCCCTCCTTCGTGGAGCAAACTGTTTAACTGAACGAGTAATTAAACAAAAAAAATATCTATCATATAATCAAAATTTGGCATGAATAAAGATACAAATATTTAGCCTTTTAAGTTAAAAAAAAAAAGGCTGTGCTCTGTTTCAATTCTCAAATTTTGCTTAAGTAGAAGTTAGATGGTGTACAAGCAATTTGTGCCAAGTCCAGCATCACTGCCCACAGCTGCCTTCATTAGTAATCCTGAGTGCTGAAAACACATATGGACCACAAAAGAGATTATAACCAAAATGAACATGCCAGTCAAAATACTTGCCTTGGGAGACATGGTCTAGTGTGAGGTGTCCCTGCCCATGGCAGGGGGTTGAAACTGGATGAGTTTAAGGTCCTTTCCAACCCAAACCAGTCTGTGATTCTATGATACTAAAATTTTACATTTTCTTCAATTTTATCATGGTTCAGAATGGTTCCATCTCGGTAACTGCTGGGGCCAGATCCCAATTCTGGAGCTCATAACTCTCCTCCTGCAGGCAGAAGCTGTAAACTCTCTGCTGTGCACGAGTGGCACTTGGGGAAATGCCAAGGCACATGGCCTCAGAGCCTGCACAGTGCAGCTCGCTGGCAGAGCTAAACCACTGGGCATTGCCAATGCTCAGTGACTGTGGATAGGCTGGAATAGCTGATCTTTAACACCACGAAGCTGAACTGAGCTGAAAAGTGATGCAAAGAATTTATAGGTCACATTTGCGTCTAACACACACAGCTGCAACATCACTGATTTCAGCTGTTTTCAGCTTTGTCAAAAATCAACTCAAATATTGTGCTTTGCTAAAGCATATGTTCATTGTTTGATTATACGTGCCTCAGAGCGTTTGATGAATAAGCCCATAAATGCGATTCTTCTTCATGAAATCCAGTAGACTGACTGCACTAACATAGCTATTCTACATGGAGACACCATTTCCCAAACTGAGCTGTTCCCAGAAAATGCTTAAGTGAAGTTTCATGGAGATGACTTATATCCCCAGTACATGGAAATACAGAGGTTAGGCAAGCCTTGCTATCACAGGTCACACAAGAGAGCAGCAGTATTTGAGGGTAGTATAAATCAGAACCAAGTTCCTCCACATGACAATGACCACAGTGTGGAACATAGGAAGTGAAGACAGCTCAGCGTATTTGGGAAGGAGATTTCTCTGTGCAATTTTGGCTGCTCAGGAAGGTTTTGGTGTGGACTGGCTCGCCGTTTCAACAGACTTTTCCTAATTCCATCTAAACGGGAGCAAATTTGTTAACACTTCTGAACTTAGGCTGAGCCATGCACTTCTTGAGGTGCTATTAACAGATTTGCCATGGTTTTGGAGAATGAGGCCATTTGCTAAGAATGATTCTTTCTTTTTGTTTTACCTTTAGGTGTTCCCTCCATGATCTTCAGTGTGATTAGCTTCATGAAACATCTCCTCCCATACTGTGACGTGACAACAGTCTAACACTTCTCATTAACTTCTATCACATGCCCAACGGTCTCCTGACCTCTATCAAAAGAAAACATGCCAAAATTGTAAAAAGTGGTGACTTATCCTTCGTGAACATTCACTTCATTTTATCAAGTAGTAAAACCCAAATGCAGTACAAAACCAGAGTACTATTTCAAGATCTCTTTATTCCAAAAGGACTTTGGTAGAACTAATTGAAGAATATAATTGTAGTTATAGTGTTATGAAGGACTATAGCCTTAAATTTCAGCAAAATTGGAAAATACCTCTAAAGGAGTGTTGCTCTCTTCCGAAGAATGAGACAAGAACTTCCAGAACTGGTGAGGGAAGCAGTGCTTCAAAAGAAGCTCCCAAAAGGAAGAGTCATCGCAGTGTACTTGTGCTTTATTTTATTCAAGTAGCAATGAAGTATTTTACACATACATATCTCAGAAGCTACAAAAATTAGGATAATGGCTGTTTACTTAGCTAAGAAATGTCTGTCTTTCTCTTTTCTCTGTCTTATACATGCACAAATATCCCACCTCTATACAGAAGCAAGGTGAGACTTTCAGAAAGAATGGACCATGGATCTAGACCTTAGAGAAGTCTATAAACAGCCAGCATGGCTGCCATGAAGACCTGGCAGGCAACTGTCTGATCTGACAAAGCTTTCCAGTATTGAGCCATTCTATCTCTTTCCAAAAAGACAGCAAGGCCTAGTGTTAATTTTGAAAGTTAAAACCATTTGTGGTCTCAAATAGCTTTTCAAACACCCTTCTTTTGTTATGTTACTCTGATTGTATACCCTGATCTGATCATATAAAGTCTGTTCTTCAGGAAAGTCTGTCAGTCCATGCTGTGAACAAGAAAAAAGCTGGATCAGAACAATCAGATGCAACTAACTTCAGAAAATAGTGGAGACTTCTTTGCTTGCAGAACCAGGCTTTCTTATTTTTCCTTTTCTCACAGTGGATAGGACCTTTTTCAACAATCTGGTTGCTCTCAGGTCATTTCAAAGAGAACCAGAGTAACAGATGACATGCAGAAAATTTTGACATTCTAGCTCCTTTTCCTTGGGCCAGGCTTCTAAAATGGATGCTAAGCCTATGAAATGTGTATCCCTTTTTAGAACTACAGCATAGGCAGATAACTGCTACCCCATAAGCTACAAAAGAATCAAAGAATACAAAAGATCCCTTTCTCCATTATCAAGATTTCAAGTTTCAGAATTCTTGCTGTAAAATCCTTCTCTTCTCAGCAGGGCCCAGCAACAAATCCTGTGCTTCCTAAGCCAGCACAGGAAACACAGTTCATCCAGAAGAGCCGTAGCCAGCTTTCACAGCAAAGAAATTCTAACACATAGACAAAAATTAATTATTCCCTCTAGTGAAAAAATGCAATCACTTTTGCCATAGCATCCAAACAAGGGTAAATATGTTTTCTAACAGCATGAGACAGTCACTTGTAGCTGCTTCTGAATACACAGAAAAACAAGCTTGTTTTTTCTATATTACCTTAACATCCCTAAGGGACACCAGCAGAAAACCTTCCTAGCTCTGGTAGCCCTCATACGATAGCTAGTGCAAGCTATTTAAACACTTCATCTCAAACTCATGCAGCTGATTATCACTCCTCCCATAACAAGATGTAATTCAAATAGAAATTGATAAAAGAAAGCAAATAGAGAGGAAAGTTTCAGATTTCATCTTCATTGCTATTAGCCTTCTAATTAGATTGTAGACTTGGCTGCCAGAAACAAATTTCTAGGCATCTTCTATTCTGAACCTGTTCCTATTTCTGCATGAAGACCCTTCTTCTGTCGCACAGATTTATCTGTTATGGGTGACCATGGTGCTGGGCCACTGCAGTTCAGCTATGGAAGCACACCCTAGCTAAGGCCACAGCTCACAGAACATGAATAGAAGGTGGTTTTCATGATTTTTACATCACATCATCAGACCACGTCCTGGTGAATGTACCTTGAACATTCTGATTTCTGTTGAGCAAAATTAGGTTTCAAATTTAATTTGCAAATTATGAAATTTCACAGTTATTTTATTCCCCCAATCCCTATTCAACAGACACCCCATCACACACGTTCTTTATAAGGTTTTATGCTCTTAGGATTGTCACTGTAGAAACACAGAAAGGAAGACTTCATTTATACCTTGCTTACTCCAAGGAAAAATAAACACCAGTGTTCATTAAGTCTGAAACATCAATCCCAGCTCTTGTATGAATACAAATTGGGGATGTCAGTGGATGAATAATAAAATACTCTAAATGATGATTTCCTGAAGCTGCACCAGCTGACTCCATTTGAAAACTCTGTCCCACAGTCTTTTGCAGGTCTGAAACCACAAACAGTTTCATCTCAGTTCCTCTTAAAGAAGAAATGACCAAAACATTACACTTCAGCTTTGGAATTATTTAGAACACAAAGGAAAAGGTTTGTGGTTTATTTGGGCTTCTTATCTTATGTTGCAAAAGCAGGATCACATGAAAATGCAACCCCCTACCATCACATAGACAGTCCAGCCATGGCTTAAAGAAAACTTGCTATAGTACAGTAACCTGAATAGTCATAGATGCTGTAATAGAGATGAGGTGTAGCTCATGATGTTTACTGTTTTTCCTGTTATACAGTGGTGGACTTGGCAGCCCTGGGTAAAGGTTGGACTTGATGATTGTAAAGGTCTTTTCCGACCTGGGTGATCCTATGATTCTATGGTAGTACTACAAATAGCTGTTCCTTCTTTTGACTCAGTGCTTAGCCACTCACCTGAGATGTGGCAGACACAAGTTAAATCCCTTCTTTCCCAAAAGGATCTGACTCTACATATTCCAGAAAATATAATGACCACCAGGCTGCGGAGTTTCAGAAGGAAAATGGACACAAATAGCACTTTCTGCCTCTTCCTCACTACTGTTCACTTTGCTTTCATATTCCCTGGTGTACAAACTAGGCTGCTTATTTCTCAGAGAAACATCTTAATCATAAGACCAGAAATAAATTTTCTGAGTGCCCTGTAACCAGGTGAATATCACAAATTTGGGACAAACTAAGAAATTATTAGAAGACACTGAGCAGATACCTTCTTCTCCCCTCCTGCCATAGAATACTAACTTTGTGGTAAGGGCATTTTCTCCTGTAGTGCAAGATAAAGGTTCATGTCATCAGCCTGAGTAAGTTAATTCTTCCTGTGTCACAAATTAACTGCTTTGGCCCTTCCTACTCCCCCACATAGGGTGAAGTCACCCCAACACAGGACTGCAAGACAGTCTTTCGCTTTTGTCGTAAGTGCTTCGAAATGGTGCTTAGAAAATGTGTCCCTTTGGTTTGTGAAACCAACATTTTTATTATCTTTCCCTTTTTGAACCGAAGTAAAGCTTGAAAAACTGGTTGCAGAAAAATTGCAAAGTAGGTTAAGTGCTGATCTGCAAATGCAGGCAGTGGAAAAACCTGAGCTGTTTCTCCATGTGAGCAGCCTGGTCCATAAGCACCATCAGCAGCTTCATATCCTGCTGCCTTGACTGCAACGTTTCCACCCTTTCAGTGTGTAGGTTGTGCTCCATCAGCAGCAGTTACCTAAGGTAACCCTTGTGTACATAAATGCATGGGTTCTTTTGCAACCAGTCCACTTCAAAGCCAATCTAGCTATGCTTCAGCAAGCCTTCAAGATACATACATGCACTTAAAATGGACAATTATGTTTAAGCTAATTCTACTTAATGCCACAATTTCACCATTAAAATATATGCCAACAAGCCAAATTAACATAAACACAATTCAAATTGTTTAAGGCCACTTGTATTATAATGCTTGGACAATTGCAACTAGATTGATTTAGGAATGACTTTTTTGTTTTGAAGCAACTTTTCCCCAAAAGGGCAAGGATTTGATGGCTGCAGAATATGATAAGTTTCTATCTGTCAAATGCACAGTTGAAAGTGAAACAATCAAGACAAACAAGAAAATTCCCAAATTAGACACATGCTACCAGTATACTTACAGTTTACCTACAGGATTCCTACAGGATGCTGTCTTAACCACTATGGCACATGAATGAGGGTATTTTTCTTTTTTAGAATATGTGGAGATTTATTTAAGATAGTGTAGTGTCCAATCTTTTGGGCATAAAATCATACCATTAGCAAAGTATACATGCCAAAGGGAAGAGTGAAGCCACAGAAAACAGAAATACTTATCATATACTTTGTCTTGGGTTGAAATATACTTTTTTTAAGAGATGTTAGCAAAGATTTATCAAGGCTAAAGTGAAGTTACTACAAGGGTTCCATAATAATGAAGCTTCACTGGTCATAGACACTCATTGAAGAAAGACAATAAACCAGCAAATCTTGTAAAAATTTACCAGTTATGAATCTCATGATAAGGGCTAAGGAAGGACAAGAAACAAATCTGAGAGGCAACAAGGATTCCTTGATCCAAAAAGCTTAGGAACCACCCATCTAAAACACTACATAGATTAAAAATAGGAAAAGCATTATTGATTTCTGAGGCACTCTTAAATAGCAGAGGAAGATGATCAGCTTATTTTTACTTTCAGAAAGGCAAAGTATTACGTATTTATGAAGTATGGATTATTTTCTTACACTTTCTGCATAGGCACAATCACAACAGGAGAGACCAAAAAGGATGGTGGGGACATAACAGTGGAGGAAGAAAGTTCAAGTAAGTGCTCAAAACTGGACATGAACTGAGAAGAGAGATGGGAAAGTCTGGGAGCTGTAGTCCTACTCCCTTCTACTCCCATCCATCTGTAAAAATAGATATAGAAGGTCATCCAGTATCTGAAGGATGCTGGGGAGGGACTCTTCATCAGGGACTGTAGTGATAGGACAAGGGGTGATGGGTTCAAACTGAAACTGGGGAAGTTTAGATTAGATGTAAGGAAGAAGTTCTTTATAGTGAGGGTGCTGAGGCACTGGAATGGGTTGCCCAAGGAAGTTGTGAATGCTCCATCCCTAGCAGTGTTCAAGGCCAGGTTGGACAGAGCCCTGGGTGACACGGTTTAGTGCGAGGTGTCCCTGCCCATGGCAGGGGGGTTGGAACTAGATGATCTTAAGGTCCTTTCCAACCCAAACCATTCTGTGATTCACACAACTCAGAGAAAAGAGCACTTGGGGCTTAGTGGGACTTAGGGACCTACAGACAGAATTTCTGATAAATGGTAAAATACCTGTTTTAAAGAACACTGTTGCAGAGAGCTGGAGAGAAGACCCCACAGACATGTTTTGGTATAACAGTAATGGGATGACTTGGACAACACACAGGGGATCTTAAGTTCTAACATTTAGAGAACTCTATTTATAGGCCTCTGCAAAATGTAATTCATTTACCCAGACAATCCTTATGAAATCAAGTCTAGAAGTATCTTTATTTTATAAAGAGGAAGTCAGCAGAGGCAAGCTGAGCAATCTTCTCAAAGCCAGTGAGCTCTTGTCAAAGTGTTCTCAATCAGTAACAATAAAAATGTGAGCTCCAGGGCTTGTTCACAAGAAATGTCTTAGAGAATTGAAGTCAAAAAAGAACTTGAGATAAGCAGTTACAAAATGAGAAATATATATATACTCCAATGGAAAGCAAAGCAAGACACACAAATTGAAGAGCAAATAACTGCCTAGCAAGGAGCTTAAAGAACATACTTGTTGCAAGATTTATTCAACTATCTGAGGAACTGGTAATTTTAACCTACAGGAAGTGTTATTTGAAATAATTACTCTGATTTCACTGTGACAGTGTAGAAGAGGAAAGAAAAAAGGGAGGGGAGCTGAAAGAAGACTAACTGAGCAGCACAAAGAAAAGAGAAATAGTTTTACCTTACTCCTGGTTCTGAGTTTATCCTCATCTTTATGCTACGGTCTGGAAAAATTCCAAGCCCTGAGAAGTGGAAACAGAACAGGTGGGTTGAAACATTAGGAATGCTTAGGAACTCTTTCGTGTTTTAAACTCATCCTTAAACTCTAAAAGAGAAAAAGATCAGAGAGAAAAAGGAACTGAATTATGATTTTATTAAATAGAATGTAAACAGTCATTTGAAACAAAGGGCAATGCAAATTGTTGTGTAGTCACACAACATTCCTCTTGGATTTGAAGTTCACCAGCAGCAGTTCCACCCCTTTTGGAAGTACAGCCTGACGTCTGGGCTGTTCAGCCTGAGCAGCTGCTGGAGCTACAAAGCCCGTTTTCGTCCTCTGCCAGGATGGGAGTGATATGGCTTCCCAACCAATCCAGGATCCTGTGTTTTTCCTTTCATATTACCCTCCTTCTGGTTCAACAGACTACTGCAGAAAGAGAACTGAAGTTTGTGGTTGCAGTAAGTAGTTTTCTTTCCTGTTTCGTTGCATGGAATACAGGGAATTTGATATGGCTGTCGAATCAAACAAGGTGTGTAGTGGCTGTGCCTCTTTTTCAGATTGAGGAATAACTACTGCTGCCCTTTTGCTTGCTGAGTTTAAAGATAAAAATGCCTCTAGCTATGAGAATTTTAATTTCTAACCCCTAGTTATTCTTTCAAGATAACTGAACAACTTAGCTTTGTTGTAGACACATAGTACAAAGGAGTTAAGAGATCCGAGGTCTAAGTTTACCTGTTCATGCTTAACTTAGCTGACACTCTGGCACATAGTCTGAGAGCTGGTGATTATGGCCTACCTCTTCTTCTGTGCTTGAAAGCTGAAACTTCTGATGTTTCAGAAGTTACTACAAAAATGAAAGTATTTTCCATTTCAGAATAACTGAACTGGCACAGCAGTATACTGAGAAACAGAAAGGGTTATTTTTATGTAGAGATTTGGGATACATGTTGCATTAACTGCAATTAATTAGGCTCAAAATGGATTGTAATAGGAGAATTTTGCTGTACGATTTCTTATTTTAATGTAACTAGGTAATACTTCACTGTCACTTTCCCCAGAACCTCAGGTGAAAGAGAGATTAATTCAATGAAGTAGTTTAGATCATGAAGGCTGCACCACAGAATCATAGAAGAGTTAGGGTTGGAAAGGACCTTAAGATCATCTAGTTCCAGCCCCCCTTTTCATTCCAATTTCTTTTTTCAATAAGAGGTATTCTGATAATAGTTAGTCTATGGGGAGCTTTTCAATACAAAGTTGTGGAGACTGGAATTCATATTTGTAAATAGGAATGTTAAGGTCTTCTTCCTCTTTTCTCTATTTGAGACATTATGTGCACATACAGAAAACAGACAGAAGTACTGTGTCCAAAACATATCATCTAGCTCTACGTAAAGTATTTCATATCCAGTTGTCTGTTTGCTGCATTGTAGATGTGCCACTTGGAGAGAGGCCAGAGAGCACAGGAAAAACCAGTTCCTTCGCCTGCTGAGGCTTATGGCTCCAATAGACACAACCCACAGCAGGGACTCAACACTAATTCCAGTGATGTTCTGTGTATAGCAACATACTGAACTGTTCTTTCAGTGACAAGACGGAGAATTGGACACACAGATGAAATCAGGCAGTCAGCAAGCCTTGGAGAATTAGCTCTATGAAGCGAAGGAGACTTTCACTGAATTGTAGCTGTTCTTGTGTTCTAACAGGTATTGGTTTTGCAGAAGGAGTTACAGGAAATGCTCACACTTATGGAGACAGAGGATTCCTATCCAAAATCAGCTGCTTACCACAACTATACAGCCACCTAGCAAACAAACAAACAAATATGACATAATTTCTTTACAGGGTAGCTTATCACAATTAATATTAAAATAAGAGGTAAATTTCATTTAAACTGTCTTCCTTTTACCCGATACTTCACCTCAGACTGACCAATCTCCCTAAAACATTACAACAGGTTTATTCTTATGATCAACATACATCTCTGTTATCAAAGCATGCGTTCAATTGAACTTTGCCTACTGAACTCACTGACTGAACTTTCATGGGAACAGAACTACTAGCATAAATAAATAGGATAGGAGTTGGCCCCAGAGCATTTCACTGGTATAATGGGATATGATGACTGTGTGGCTACAGTCAAGGTAAGTTTGAAAGGCATTTTCCTGAGATAATTCAATAGCCATTTTCCAGCTGTACTCTGCACCTTGCTATGTTTTCATCTGAGAGTATTCCTGCACTGTGGAAATGTGTCATAATGACTTTTTAAAACTTTCTTAGCAGAATTACACGATATAAAATACATCTGCAGGGGAGAAAAACTTAGACAAATGTTCCCTTTTGCTCACTTCTAGAACTGTGCTATGTTCCCTCTCCTCACAATTTCCATCTTTGTGCTGATTCTGTGCATTATGATTATTGGCCACAAGTCCATTTGTGTGAAAACCTCTAATTCCAGCCAATTTGTCAAAATGCTCTCTCAATCTTCCTCCTCGCATGTAAACATTAATCTTCACCATAATTCTTGTGCACTCAGTTTAAACTGGACATGAGAGAAGAAAATAGGAAATACATAGGGCCATTGGGATTTATTGCCTTGGTATAAAGAAGTTTTGACCTCTCACTTCTGCCTCCGCACAGGCATGCATTTCACTTGTCATATACACAAAGAGGTGTGGTTTCTGAGGTGCCACAATTTCATCATGTCTCAGGATAGGAAGTGTTGTCTGAGCATGCCTAATCAAGCCAAGCCATTTGAAAACTTGACTAGACATGCTCAGTATTTCTACGGTTTCCCTGCACTGGCAGCATGACTGGTTCCATTTCTCTCTTGTTTCTTCATTCCTATTGCTGGCTTCAAAATAAGTCACCTTTTTGTTTGAAGTTGAGTCTGTCAATGAAAACATCTGTAAGATAATTCACAGTAATTCCTGGCATTGCTGAATGAAGATGTTATCTATATTACACATGCCATATTCTCAGTTCAATCTCTCCCCCACACCAGTTTTTTCCCAACATGATTTTTCACCTGATAACAATAGAAGTAAATGCTGGCCAAAATCTGAGTCATGTGGCCACTCTGATCTGAAGTGACCACCCTCACCAAATTATAAACAGCAAATGGGAGAATCCAGACACCAAATAGGTTCAAGCTGTGTTAGAGTTAAAGGAGAGAGTATTTGGTAACTATCCATCTATTCCTCTGGAGAACTGACTGAGGTGAAGCACTGCATATAGACCGAAGTGCTGAAACAAACATGACGGACAGGTCTGCTTTGCTCTCTTTGTGTATATCCTCCTTGTCCTCCCTTTCTTCTTGATTTCTAGTATCTTTTCACCTTTTATGATAGCTCCTTGTTCCTTTTCGCTCATCCTGCCATGTTCCATGTCTTCTGAAAGGTCAGGAAGGCAATGTGTAGGCCAGGAGTAATAAATGCTGCAGCACACATGTTTTTAAATTAATTTGAAGCTTTGTAGGTCCCTAACAGTATCAGGCGTTCTAATGAAAAATACAAACTTCCAAATACACAAGCTCTTCTTAAAGATTTAATACTTTCTAACAAAAAAGTCTATCAAAAAGTAGCAATGACTGAACAAGTTAAGCCTTTTAGGTTAAGTGGTTGTTCATAAGGTCACTGTTCCATTTGCACCAGCAGCTGAAGCAAGGTCATTTTCAGAAGTAGCAAGCAAGAAGGAGGTTTGAGCACAAACTAAAATCAGTCGGCAGAAAAGCTTAGCTCTTCAATGCCTAAAACCAGGGTTCTGCTCTTAGATGTCTTCATTTCTTTCTTGCCACTTCAACTTAGTGTTAATCTCTCATTTATATGTCACTGTGCAAAGAAGATGCAGAAATACAAACAAGGAACTGAACTCTTCTATTTTGTGTGGACATGGAGAAGCTGTGCTGCTTTTGAGAATGAACACCCTCCACTGCTTCCATTTCTTAAGGTTACACAGACAGAAAATATCTTCCTTTACATCTCCTGCTCCACATAGATTTGAGTATCTTTTGATCTTGACCTCTTTGCCCTCTAACCTCTGTTCTGGCTTACTGAAAGTTTTTAGGGTTTCAGTGTTGCGACTGTGAAATACACACCAAGGGTTATGTCGCACATTAAGTATAAAGTATTGTAAACCAGTATGTAAAATCTAACACATTTTCAGTAGTTTTTCAATGAATTTATTGGCCAAGTGTTGACCCATTGCTACATATCTCCTAAAAAATAATAATAATAGCCATTTAATCATGTCAGTCAGTTTGAGCAACTGTCAGTTACTCATAAAAATGCTTTTCTGTGAAGTTGGATAATTTAAGAAGTATGCACGTACATTGTAATTGGAAATGTAACCTTCATTCTTTACAGAGGTATCAGCTTGTCCAGAAAAGCTAATGAATCCTACCTGACACCAATGTATGCCCGCATGTCAAAACACCAAGGAAATAGCAGTGACATGAAAGTCCCCCTCTCTCATTTTTCTCACATGCAACTGAATCAGGCAGCAGACAATGCAGCTCTTTACTTGTTCTCCTGCTCAGTAGAGGTTCACTAAGAAATTGCTATTATAAACCAAACGAGATTCCAGATTACTAAGAAAAGACATACACAGAATTAAAAATCACATAGAGAAGCAAAGACAAAATCTTTAAGAAAGATTTTATGGACTATTTTGCTTTTTATAAAATAAAGGTGTTTTGTTTTCTTGTAACTGCAAATTCATGTTGATCAACATGTTGTTGATTAGGGTGAAAAAACCTCCTTGATTTGCTGAAAAATATTCATTTCAGGTTGGCCACATCTCCAGTGAAGTTCAACTAGCAAAGCAAAAAAATAATAAGCAGTTTTCTACATGGTTCTAATGGTAACATCTACTCTAGTAAACCTTGCTTTTATTATAGAAAGTGAACAGAGGGAGAAATCCAATTGCATTTGCATTTAAAGGATAGTATTTTCCATCTCTGAAGTACTTACTCTAGTGCAGGTTTGTTCACGAGTGCAGGAGGCTGATGGAAAGGGTGTGTGTTGTAATTACAACATTAAGCCACACTGCTTGTGTTTACTGTGGAAAATATAAACATAAAACACCAACCAACCAACCAACCATGTACAAACCTCTGGTGTTCGGGCAAGAATGATGTGGCTTCATGAAGCAATGGAGAGTATCCATTATAATCAGGCTATATCCCAGTGATGTATTACTGAATGAATGTAATTTTATGAACAAATATGCCATGCTTCCACATTATTATTTTATTCTGTGAAGGCAAGAATGAGGTTGGTTATGGTATAAGCAAAGGTAACTTCCTCAACAGTCTTCATCAGCACCTGGGAAGATTGGCTGGAGCCCTGTGGATTTGTATTCCAGCATTTCCTTTCACATGAAACTTGTGACTTCATTTTTCTAATCCCACACCTAACGTGCTTAGGAAGGGTAATCTAGAGTTTGTCAGAACTATTTAATCTGGAGGTTTTACCTTCTTTGTCTGGTGGAACAAAAATACAGAAAGACTCATTTAAGGTTTCTGATGTAAAAATCATCGGACTGTACTTATCACACTAATATTCACCACGCTGGAGTGTCCAGGGTAGGAAAACAACCATACCCTTTGTTCTCACTGAGTTTAACAGACAAAAAATCCTACAGACCTTCAAAAATATCTTCATACATGTATGTAAAACAATTCATAGAATCACAGACTGGTTTGGGTTGGAAAGGACCTTAAGATCATCCAGTTCCAAGCCCCTGCCATGGGCAGGGACACCTCACGCTAGACCATGTCACCCAAGGCTCTGTCCAGCCTGGCCTTGAACACTGCCAGGGATGGGGCAGCCACAGCTTCTCTGGGCACCCTGTGCCAGCGCCTCAGCACCCTCACAGGGAAGAACTTCTGCCTTAGATCCAACCTGAACTTCTCCTGTTTCAGTTTGAACCCATCACCCCTTGTCCTATCGCTCCAGTCCCTGATGAAGAGTCCCTCTCCAGGACCCGATTAATAAATATTAAATAAGATAACAGTGTAAATGGTAATACTTTTATATTTTAGGATGATTAAGAAATCAAGCATAAGATCCATGTGTCCAGGGAATTACTTTTGAAGATACTGCTATGAAAAAAGCAGTTACCAAAAGTTTCAAGTGTCTATGCCAAAGTAATTAAATAATATAAGCACATCAATACCTGGTTTAATATTCAGAGGTGCAGACTGTCCGAAATTCAGCCAGATTTCTTGTCTGGGTGCCTAGCTATGGATGTCATCTCAGCATTAACATCTTGGCTGATTAATTTTATGTTCTAGGAGGAAGAATCATCAAGCTCATGCCCATTCCTATATAATTATACCTATTCTTGTGCGTACAGAATGTACACTAATCCTACCTGACAAGGTTTCTGCAGACTCTCCAGAATTTTCATCTGAAAAATGGCCCTGGAAGGATAATGTCTGCTTGACTTCTAGCTAGGTAAGAAAGGAATGTTACCAGGAATTAACTTCATTTTTTATTGGCAATACTGTTAGGTTTTCCGACATGGTGACCGAACACCAATTGTAAATTTTCCAACTGATCTGCACAAGGAAAGTGAATGGCCCCAGGGATTTGGACAACTTACCAAGGTATGTTGACTTACTTAGAAGAACTTACATATACTACTAAAATAGGAAGTGGGTAGATTTTTTGTGTGTGTCTCAGAAACATCAGCAAATCCAAAGAACTGACACTTGGTATTAGCAATACCATGTAATTCATAAAGATTTTTGGAATATTATTCATCCAACTTAAACTGAAATCTTGTTCATCATGGCTTTATAACCCTTCCTAAGGCAAGTTCCTAATGGCAAGTTTAAACATTGTCTATACTCAGCAGTGATGAAGTTCTAATGACTGTTAAGCAGTGGGCCCTGTGACAGGGCAAAGGGATGAAACCTGCCCATCAGGCAAAATGTCATCTCATCATTTGACTGGCAACCACCTACTCACAAAACAAGGGAAGTCTTGCAGGAGAAGGCTGCTTCAGGGGACAATATGTCTTGTACTAAGGCTGCTTTCAGTCCAGAGTTTCACCAGGATGCAGGGAACCTGCTTCTTGCCCTGGCATTTCAACATCAGGCCTTAGCTCTTTAGCTATACTTGACATGTGAAAGTCTAGAGAAAAGAGTGACCAATGTATTTCCTAATAACAATTCAGCATGATGCAGAAGCATGAATCAGAGACAGCTCAGCATCTAGTGTTTGAAGTGAAGCTTGAAAGATCTGTAGAATTCAGACACTCAGACAACACGTTACTATCCCCAGGGACATGGTTTATGTTGTAAGAAGAAAAAAAGTTCTTGCTTTGGCACAGATTTTTTTGAGAGCTTTTGCTACTTTATTATGTTTTTAGCAACAGTAAGCAAGAATGTACTTCTCTGACAGCTAGAAGTTGAAAAGCTCAGCTCACAGCTTTGGTAATGAAGAAGAGAAAAGATGGTGTGCAATCTAAGACAACTTCAGGTGTACCAAGGCAAATATGGAAGAATGTTACTTGAAATGCAAGCCACAGATTATCAGGCTGATCAAATAGCAGAGCAGCAACAATAACTACTACATTATTTATCATTCTTTCTCAGCTCTGACATACATTTTAAAGAACAATGTTGATCATTAATGACTCCAGGAGTGTCTACAGAGCTACTGCACTGTGGCAAATGTATCTGTACAGAATCAGGAGCATTGCTTTTCCTGTAGCGGATGTTTGGAGTCTGAGCATTTCAGGACATATCTTTTTTTCATAGCTATAAATGAGTATTTCTGTCAAAAATTCTACCTTCTGATTCTCTCCCCAGTCCTACCAGGGGTGAGTGAGTGAGTGAGTGAGTGGCCGTGTGGTGCTTAGCTGCCAGCTGAGGTTAAACCACAACAACACTATGTTATACATATGGTTACTGATTGCTGAAGACAAGAAAGAAAATAGAAAATAAACTTCTACATTAAGATTCCCCAGTCACCTTAATCTAATGATAATCTGTATGCTTGCCTCGCAGACTGGAATGCAGCAACTATTTGAACTTGGACAGTACATGAGGGAAAGATATTCCAGCTTCTTGAACAGCACATACAACCGGCAAGAGGTACATAGCAGACTGTCTGGAGGACATTGCTCTGGCATAGTGGACCTATGGACTTGTGCTAGATAAAACCACATCATCATATTAATTTCATTAATGGAAAAATTGAGGTAATAGAAGAACATTTCTGAAAGTCAGGCTTTTATGTCAAGGTAAAACATACACTAAAGTCTAACTTTCAGCTCTTACAATCAGTTTGGGTTTTCAACTGCCCGATTCTCCAGGACTGAACAGCTCCAAACCACTGAATGCACTGGGAATTTACATATAATGACCCAATATTGTTCTACCTCATTGAAAGGTGAATGAATCCATATGATGGGCCATGTCATATACTTCATTCTGTAAAAGAGGGGTCTAAAGGTTGGTTGGATGTGCTTGTCATACAGTATAGGTCATTGTGGGGAAGATAACACTGACATCTTGGTCTATACATGAAGGATGCATTGATGGAAAGGCGTAAAAGACCCTAGCTTTGCCATGCTTCCAAGTAAGGTTTACAGTTTTAAGTGCCTTTATTCCTCAGGTATAGCAGATGAATCATACAATCATTTAGGTGGGAAAAGACGTTTAAGATTATTGAGCCCCAACTGTAAATCTAACACTGCCAAATCCACTAAAGCACTTCCCTAAGTGCCACATGCACACACATCAACGTTCCTCTGAATCTCAGAAGATGGAGAGCTTCCCTCTTTTAAACCATGCTTTCTTATCCTCAGTTCAGCCTTAGGGTTAGGTTCCAAACTGAGAGATGCTTTGGCAATTCCATTTATGTAAATGCAGTATGGTCCTTGAAAGGTGAGTTACGGTTTCACTGTTTTGGCTTTCTGCAAAAACATAAATCTGAAACCAAGAAGCCAGGATTGATGAGTTGGGTCAAATTCCCTCGTTATTTTTATTGTTTCTATTTTATTTTTAACTCTCTGCCATTCTGTCTTCAGTTTTACATCCAAAGTACAGATTACGACCGCACCATTATGAGTGCCCAGTCATACCTTTCTGGCCTCTTTCCACCAACTAGCAGCCAAATTTGGAACCCTGAGCTTCTCTGGCAACCCATTCCAGTTCATATTATTCAAAAATCAACAGACCGGGTGAGTACTGGCCAAACACTTCCTGTAACACCTTAAACTTTCCCAAAAGTAACAAAAACAGGGAAAAAATGGGGGGGAGGGGGAGGAGGGATTGGGAAGCTACAAGTATGTTCTTTTCTTTTCAAATATATCAAAATTCAATAGATTGAATTTTGAATTCTGAATTCAATCTAACAGAAAACATCAACTGCAGCTACTGGCTGACAAGCATGTCATAGGTGAACTGCAATAGCAGCATGAAAATCCTCCTGTAGTTGCAGAATACCTGAATTGTTGTCCACACATTACCATTTTCAAGGTACAGCTCTAACATTTCTCCTGGGAAGGACACTTTTGGGCAGTATTAAAGGAAAGTTGTCTTTAACCTTTACAGAGGACAAGTGCTTTTCTAAGCAGCAATCAGCTAGACAGACCTCCCCTGCTTAGGAAGTTAGCTCCATAGTTTATTCAAGCAATGGAATTTTCACCAGCCAGTATAACGACCTTTCAATTATTACTTTCCTCTTCTGGTAGCACTTAGGCACCCTAATTACAGACAAGGGCCCTTATATGCTCAGCACTACACAAACTTTTAATGAAACCCTGGCACTTGGCTTGCGGTTTGTAACAAGAGCAGATCTACCTGAATAAGGTCTTGTAGATGTAGTACTAGATCAAGCCCTCTCTGGCTGACTCAGGCTTAGGTTTTAATTTCAGTGGCTCCTGTGAAAAGGACTGTGTAAGGAACAGTGTGTTGAACAAGGACAAAAAGTTACTGAGTCTAATGACATAAAGGATAATTTTCTTCTGCCTTTGAGGACAGAAATTGACGTTAAGGAAATGTATACAAAAACCCTATTAAGTTACTGCCTGTCCAGTCACCAACATCAGAGGATAGACTCTGTCATTAGGGGGTGGCTGCACCTGCCTCCCATTGGCATTTCTCCATTCTTGGAGGCCATGCTTGAAAGCAGGAACAGAGAAAAAGGGCTTCCACAAACTGGATTAGGCACAATGTGATTCAGCTTGAAACGTAACTCTGTCCCTCAACAGAAAAGAATGCTGCCACTGTTACTTAAATGTGAGACACTAGAGGAAGTTCTTTCACCAGAAAACCAAAAAAAGCATCAAAGTGGTCAGAGCTTTGGCCACATAAAACCTCATAGCCCTTAGGAGAATCACAGTGCTGCACAATGACCGGTTTGGAGAAGGCAAGCTCCTTTGTAGGAATCTCTAGTACCTCATCACTGCTGCTTCAGGAGTGGGTATTGATGTGTCACTGAAACACACCCCTGCAGCAATTTAAAATTCCTGTTCAATATGCAAACCACTTGGAATAAAACCTGTTCCCTTGTTAAGCCAAGCAGATGTTTGAGGGTATTTTCAAGCCCTAAGCAACACAAAGTGGGAAACGGAGGCCAAGTACAGTCCTGTAAAAAAACCCTAATCATAGTTTATTTTTTCAGCCACTGAGATCTATCAAGACCTGACAGGTACCAGTACTGGGTATTGCATCATGAAGCCAAAGGGAGTGGCTTCATTAGTAACACCTAGAGGGGGATAATTAAGCCATACAGCAAGAGAAACATTTATTCTTGTGTAATTAAACAACATTCCCAAGTTTCACATTGCAGCTTTGAGCCTTCACCCTCCAGTGTGCTGCTGTTACAGCAAAAATGCGCCCTTGGAGCTCTGTCCAAGTGCAAACGTGCCAGTGTCAGCTGGTGGCTGCTGCAAGCTTCACGTTGGTAAATCAAAGAGAAAAGACATGTGCTCCAAGTGCAATCTGCTAATGTTCACCCCGAGACAGAGCAGACCTTCTTGCACATACAGAAGCCATAGATACTGAGGTTAATTTCTCCACTGTATATTAAGTCATGATTTATATGGTTATAGGATACTAGTGCTGGGTCAAAAATGCTCTAATGATATAAAGTGCTGAAGTAGCACAAGCTTACTTGCTGATCATACTGTCACTTCATGCTGGATCAGGTATCATCTGTGCTGCAACTGGCATAAAAGTGTATTTGCCAAAGCACAGAGTTTGATGGACACATGTATGTACACATGGTTCAGCTCAAGTATGAACTATCAGATAACCTCGTAATGCACTTCCTTGGAGTTATTAAAAGTGAACCATAACCATAAACAAGAGCAGAGCCATTAGGCTCACAGCTTTTTCATATTTCAGCCACACGATTTACTTGTCACTCTTGTTTCAAGTTCTGTTCATTAAGTGGTACTTAAAATGCTTACCAGAATGTAAAATGCTTACCTCCAAAGAGATAAGAGCGGGATGTATAGATGCAGAAGCAATTAAGATTCCGTATCAGGTGGAGTCAAGCTGCATCAGGAGGGATTCAGAAATTAGGAGGGAAATTATAGCATTTTAAATTCCTCATCATGGTTGCTGATCCATTTCCCAAAGCAACCCTCTGACAGATATGCGTAATTGCTTTTTGGCAAAATCAGTTAAACTGAGGGAAATCGAGCTGTCGTAGACACAAGCAGCCACTGGAAAGTCAACTTACCATTGCCCATTGCTTATGTTTACTGAATTCATGACCAAGGCACCCAAACAAATCATTACAGAGTAGCTGTAGCGCAGCCATGAATCTATCTAACAAATACTACATCAGCAATCTCAGCAAGAGAGAAACTAGAAGTGTGTTGATTCATTCTAGAACTATTCTAAGTTTACTTCTTTTGTTTCAGAGCCTGAATTTTCCTCTGCCTGACTGTCCCCGTTTTGATGAACTTCAGAATGAAACACAAACATCAAGTGAATTTCAAAATAGAATACAACCATACATGGTAAGACAAAGGAAACAAAATCTAAGGAAAGTAACTAAGATGAAGAAGTTACAGAATTGCATTGTTTCCTCTTGCTAAAATGCAAAAATAAAGTCCTGAGGACTCTCCTAAAATCAGAAATTTAGACCAATACTGTCAAAAAGTGTGTTCCATATTCTTGGGCATTTCTTGTATTTTTCTATATTAATCTTTGCTATGACTTTAACATGAATTTGCTGAGACTATTTAGAGCTGCATGTAATGAAAGTTCCATGATGGGAGGGGAGAAGACATTTCTGGATACAGTGATTTCCAGCTTTACAGGGCAGCACAAAACCAATTCTAAAAACTCTGGTAAATCTGAACCTTGGGAAGGTTTATGCCTTCCTGCTGTGACCATCTGAAGTTGATGCTACAAGACAGAACTGAAGCATGCCCAAGCAGGTCAGCACTCTGGCTCACGCAGATTTCTCTGAGATGCATTTTGGACCCGTCACAGTCAAGAGATTCAGAACTTCCCATCCCAGTGCTGCAGCAGGATGTAGGTACACGGATGGTGTCCCTGTCTCAAGCAACCATGTTCTTGATGATAACAATTGCTCTGGATAGTGGTTGCTGCTGCTCTCCTGTTTGCCTGCCATACACTTTGTAAGAGCACAAATCTAACAGGGATCTCGTGCTCCTCATACCTTGACAGCACATGTATACAGGGAAGTGAATTATGACTTCAAAGTTATCCTGTCTTTCAGCTATTAGTAGGAAACAGGTAACATGGGAATAAGGGATACTAAGGAATACCTTTATCCTTCCCTAACAGCACGTAGAAAGAAACCCTTTGGGAGCTATTACTCAGATATTCAGCTCCCCTTCAATTGCAGAAGGAAAACCTAGCTTCCTCTTCAATTTCTTTTTGCCTCATCCTGAATATTTTCCTCAGTCCTCTTTAATTTTCTATTTTCTCCTCATCTTTGTTCTCATTTTCCTTTTCCCTTAGTGCTTTCCCCTTCCTTGTATCTGAAGGCTTGAGGTGACTGAGAGCAGTCAGAAGAGGGAGAGAAGAGTGCAGCAGAGGGAGCACCAAACTTATCCATAGCAGGGCTGAAAAAAACAGTGTCTGAAATAGAGATCAGTACCTTGAAATAGTTACAAAACTAAATCTGCAATGAAAACCTTCTGGTACAAGGGTTTCACTGGTGTAAAATTAAACACTACTCTGTTTCTGGGTTGCTAATGAATCTGTATGCATCTATGTTCCATATGTATTGAGTACTTGTGGTATACTCTTCACTTTTTTTTCCACCAGGATTTTTTACAAATGATGGCAGTTAACACAGGACTTGAACTAAATCATCTTAAAATACTGGATAATTTCCAGCTCTGGAATACATATGACACTCTCCACTGTGAGGTAATAACAAGGCAACAGAGGTCGGGAAGGAATATGACTCCTAATCGGTGTTTCAGTTAAACCATGGCAATGTGGTTTCACAGGAAGGAGGTGCCTTTTCTTCTAGATTTGCTCCTTTTTATTATTACTTATTTAACTATTTTTAATTTGAATCTAAATTCTGATTTAGTGCACTGGTAAAGGATAACCCAAACCCATGGTTTACAGCTCAGGAAACTGTCGTTTCCATTTCACGTTTTATCCTGAAACAGTGATATTGAAATCTATTCCTTTTATTCCCTCCTTTTCCTTCCCAATATACTACTATAGAATCGAGTGTGCTGCCTGCAACATATTTATGATTTTTAACAGGAAAAGGAAATAATTTGCTTTAACCTATCAAGAGGTAACATCAAAATATTTAGATGTTGAAAATGAAAGGTAAGATTGTAAATTATCAATTAGAAAATTAGGAGTTGATTCCTACCAGTGAGTAAAATCGGACTGGCCCCAAGCATAGCAGCATGCCATCTGGCCCCAGTCATTATCAGCAGTACATAAAGGCTCTTGAGCATATCCTCTAGACACTGAGGCACTTAAACACTGTAAGACACTGTCACTCTTTACATGACTGGAGAGTGACACTTGTCTGTAAACAGCCAGTGATAAAACTTGCTTCTGGACAACTGTATGGAAAAGGCAGGAAAAGTTGGAGCTGGGTTATACCATGAAGACACAGAGGAAAAGTAGAGGATAAGGCATGTCTGCAATCTTTCACACTAGCAAAACCAAACCCATGTATCTTTATAGCAAGAATACATTTTACCCACAAAGGATCCCCTTCACACAGGTGTTATCCCTTTTCCCATTCACCCGCTTCAGGTTGATCCCACAAAGTGTATTTCAGGGCATGCTGATGAATGATACCATACTTCGCAAAGAACTGCAGGACAGCCTCAGAGAGTCTAAATGTAGTAGTGTGAACCTGGGCAATAGGATGATGGAAACCACTAGAAGGAAAAAGCCCATGATTTTGTTTTCCTTTCTCACCAGGGTATTCACAATTTCACTCTCCCTGTATGGGCTACCAAAGATGTAATCAACAAGATGGAAAAACTGGCAGAATTGTCCTTGTTATCGCTATTTGGGCTTTATAAAACAGAAGAGAAATCACGACTGCAAGGAGGTAAATATAAAATGCGTAGCTCTCAGAAAGGAGGAGACAATGCTTACGGTAACATGCACCATCCTGTCACCTTCCTTATGCAAAACTATTGATACAGAACCTTGATCTGTAATTCTGGACACTGGCATTTGCATGGAGGAGATATTGAAATGAGGTGTAAACATTAATGTCTTTAATTATCCTATGGTTTTCAAGGATTTTAAGAGTACTGAAATTCAAGGGAAAAGAAGTAAGCCCTCAGGGGTATAAACATTACTTGTCTGATACTAGTTTAGACTAAGTTTAAGTTCTGTTTCTCCAACGTTTATTCTAATAATTTCCTGATCTTTGATTCTTCCTTTGATGAAATGGTTATATATTGTGCCAAAAACTTGACAATACATTGATGGCTCTCTGAGAGACAGATATAAAGCTGCCCCAAACCAGTCTGATCAGAGTAGAGAGATTGAAGTTACGTCTAAACTGCAAGAACTGGGACTACTGCTTATCTCCAAAACCGGGGCACGCAGGCTATGCCTGTTCCGATACAACTTCAGGACACAACCCAGGAATTTCTCATATGATTCCCAGGTGTCCATGAGCAGGAAACCCAAACAAATGAGCTTGACTATCTGCAGGATGGACCATCTGGCAGTAGACTTTGCAATGCACCTACCCTGCAGCCTGGGCCTCGTAAAGAATTATTAGCAACCTCCTACATCCATGATGTACATAGGCACATACATCACTGGATCAAGTCATATAGTAACTACAGGCTCAGACGTGCATTAAAGCTCACTAGCTGGTATCCGGATGTATCATGTGCCCATAGTGTTCAGGGACATACCCACCATTCCCTCTTTCCCTAGAATGGTATAAACTGTGCTCCAAGGAATATCTGCTGCCCTTATCCCATTGGCTTTAGAATATCTCTTGTCTGGAGAAGGAATACAAAAGAGCTTTGGAAAAAAAATGCTACTGTGTGACTTGTTGGAAGTAAACAGCTAGAAACATTTCTTCAGCACCTAGAGAGGAAGAGTTTTCATTGTTGTAGCATTCCAAACAGACAGAAAATGATGGAGACGAGGTTTCAGCCTAACAGAACTTGAAGTGTCATTAGCCCCAGTTCTCAGGATACTTCTAGATGGTTTCTTCTGTAATACCTTCTCTCTAGTTATGAACTAGTATTAAGCTAAAAAAAGAGTATAAGGCCTGAGTAGATGTCTTCTGTTTGATACTCAAAACCTTTTGCCTTTTTGGTTTCTATGCAAATGTTGTATCTTCATTTTCCTCTTCCTTGTTCCCATCTTTTTAAGGTGTCCTTGTGAACATTATTTTAAATAGTATTAAGCAAGCTGCCAATTCTTCAAAACAAAGAAAAATGGAGGTCTACTCCGCAGTGAGTATTTTCATCTTTCATAAATCTTGCTATGATTTTACCAGTAGAAGACCCTTGAAGAGAATAATCAGAGTCTCCCTGTAAATTAAAGGAATAATACAATAGAATTCAATTCTGGTAACAATCTGAACACCAGTCAGTACAAGAACACAGCAGGTGCATGGATCTCATCTCAGTTACAGTCTAACTGTACTCACTAAAGAAAACTATGGGGTTGATCATCCACTTCTGCAGTCGAAACGGGTGAAGCATTGGGAAAGATGAGTTGCATCTTTCCTGAAGTGCTCCTAACCCAGAGATGCTGGCACACAGCAGAACTTCAGCTGCGCCTCCAAACCCTTCCTCTGCTTAGGAAGGGATGATACAGCTGTGGCTTCTTTTTTCATTCTTTTAGAAGATGAAGACAGCCATTTGGGTCAGACCAAGATCCACTTTGCTCATTCATTATCCTGTCTCTAACCATGGCTAAGAGCAGGGAAGAACATGGTAATACTGCCAGCACAGAGTGATGCTTCCCCTGATAGAACCTTCCAGCAATCTGTGGCTAAGGGACTTCCTGTGATAGAAATCTGTGTCTGTGTGTTTAATAATTCTTGACAGGCTTTCTTCCATCAATTTATCTAATCACTATTTGAATGCATTTATACTTTTGGCCTCTGCAACATTCTGTGGCAATGACTCGTAAGTTAAAAGAAGAAAAGTACTTCCTTCATTATTTTTGAAACTCAATACTGATTTAGCTCCTTCCCAGCATTTCTATTGTGAGAAACAGGGAATAGCCATTTTTTAGCCTCTTTTTCTGGGTCACTCATGAATTTCCTATTTTCTGTCATACCTCTTCCATCTTTCCTTTTCCAAGACAGAGTCCTACCCTATTTAATCTTTCCTCATATAGAAACTACTCATTACCTTAAATCTGTCTTGCTGCCTTTTTTACACATTTTCTAGCCCTACTGTATTCTTTCTGAAAAGGAAGAAGTGCATCCAGAATTTTCACTGCTGCTTTAATGCCCTGAGGCCAAGTACACACTTATTTTTGAAATTAAAAAGTTCCAGATCCTGAATAATAATTAAAACATGGCTGTTAGACTATAATACAAATAAGCCTTGCAGATATATATATATAAAGATGCTTGCAAAATTTAGGCATCAGGCTGTTTGGACTTCCTTCAGCTCCTCCTCCTGGCATATCCTGCAAGAGGAGGGATAATAGGGAGAGGAAGAGACTGCAGCTGGGTGGGTAACTGATTCCATCAAAATAGAAGCCAAACTGAGATTTTATTGTGTAATTCCAAACAGAAGGAACAACAATTTTTAAAGTTCTGCAGTGTGTGTGGAGGCGACGAGGACAGTCTTTGTACGCAACTATTTGTCTGGTATTCTATCTATAACCAAGCACTTGCATCTTCACTTGAAATGCCACAGGATATACTACCTTATGCTGCCTTAACCTGACCTAACACCCCTGAAGGAAGGAGTAGCAATATGTACTGAAAAACTAGATTTATTACTCAGATCACATCTTGCTTTCCGCCGGTATCTCTGTCACCAAAATGATGCCAGATGGTGTAAGACACATTGTGCAGTAAGTCTTTAGGGATGCTGCTGCAGTCTGTAGTAATCTGTTAACATGGTTTTCCCAATGGTGAATATACTGATTTATCTTGATTTCTACTCCCTCTCTACTCTGGTCTCATTACTCTGGATAAATGGACTTTCAAGGATGGGATTTTTTTCTTTCCAATAGCATGACACCACAGTTGGGGCCCTCCAGATTGCTCTCAATATTTTCAATGGAAAACTGCCACCATATGCTGCTTGCCAGTTCTTTGAACTCTACCAAGAAAGTAGTGGGCAAGTATCCTCTTATGTATGCAAGAACAAGGAGTGTTTGGAATCTGTTTCCCCTTTCCCTCAAATAATTTTCTTCTCAAATATTGTTTTAAACTGATAATTCACTGAGCAGTCAATAAGCATAAAGTTGGATTAAAAACAGGAGAAATTATGTATCTGTGTGCTTTGAAAAACAGGAAGAAGAGGAAAACAGGCCTTACTAGCAGGAAGTAAATGGTAAAATACATTTTCGCAATTCTTCAAATGATAGCAAAACCATTTCCAAGACATGTCATAAATCCCAAGGTAAACCAGTTGGCTTAGAAGACCCTGGTGCTGTTGCCACTTAAAGAACCCTTAGAAGGACCTTTTGAGCTGACTGGTGATCTGTGCATAATGTAACCAGCACTGGCAAAGTGGGCTTTGCAGATGTCTTTCACAAAGCTGCCATTCTTCAAGAACAGGTTCTAGAGTAGGATGTTTCCAACATTCTATCTCTAAACAGAAGACATTCTGCCTTCTGCCCTATTTAAGAACCTTTTCAAAAACACCTTTTCAATTTTGTTCATCAGGCAGTACAGCATTGAAATGCATTATCGGAACGACTCCTCAAAGGCTCCTTACCTACTCACCCTGCCAGGATGCACCTCTTCTTGTCCACTTGAGAAGTTTACTGAACTAGTTTCTCCTGTGATTACAGAAAACTGGTCAAAAGAATGTGGGAAGAAAGACAAAATGAAAGGTAAGGTAACAGCTCTGTATTTCCTTACACAAGACATGGAGGCAGAAATTTGATCACTGGCTCCAAACTTCATGCAAGAGATAGATCTCCCTTTAACTAGTGTGGACCGGCTTTACTATGGACAGGGAAAGACATGAGAAATTAAAATTTCTCTGAAAATGTGAAGAATAGATCTGCCCAGCAGTGTGAAGAAGTGTTCTTAATAGCATATTCACACAAGGAGCTACTGAAAGGCCATGGCCGAAACCAGAGCTCCACTTGTTGGAAATGTCTAAGAAAAGTATGGGTGCAGGTGCTATGCAAGGAGTCCTGTGCATCTTGGACACGTCAGACCCTCTGTAGATGCATCTATAGATGCAAAGCAAAAATGGCTTGCACATGCACAGTAAGATTGCTGCATCTGTATTGCCGGCACATGTACTATGTGTCGAGGACACCTTAACCTCCACTGTATAGAGTGCAGCTGATCCCTGCAGACAGAGCAGCTATTTGCCTCAGACTACCCACAGCTGACAGCCCCTTCCTGCCTGAATATTACTTCCAGGAGGGAAGTGAAGGGCAAGGCAAATACATGCTACTTTCCAATCAATAGTCCTGGTATTTCCCCCTTCTTGCATTTATTCAGTGTTTCGCTGATCCCTGATGAAATGTTTTGTTTTCATTAACTGCACATGCTCCCTTCTTTCCCTGTGAAAACAGAGGAGAAAGATTTATGCATAGGAGAAAGAAAAAGCATAGATATGCATTTCCAGGTATATGTTTTTATACTTGTGTTGCATATGCCAGTAAACGCAGGCCATGTGATCTTGCCAGAAACATGAACAAAATGCAACTCTATTCCCATTGTACATTTGTAAGTAGACTGTTATCTCTGTATCTAAAATAATATACATGTACATCTTTCAACAACTCACTTTTCCTTTACTCTTTTTCCTTCACAGATATTTTTATTGGCTTTGATGTTGCTGTTGGCTTGTTGTTAATCTTTGACCTTGTGCTGCTCTACCTCCTTTATCATTATGGACGCTGCAGGCGCAGAAACAACTACCAAGACATTTAAAGGGGGGGTAGAGAAACAAGAGAGCAGCAATCCTTTAAGTTCCCTTATATCCTTCAGTTTGCTGTGGCCAAATTAATCTCCAAAGCATACTCCGAAAATTTGAAGAGCTGAGGTATCTGTGGCCTCACTCCTAAAAGACTAAACATCTGCAGTGAGAAATCCTGTAGAAATACATTATTGTTAAGAATTTACTTTTGTAGGAAGATGGAATTACTCCAATTTAGAGCTTAGGTGTTCTACTACTATTAATCACTCTGAAGTTAAGCAGTGAGGTGGAGGGATGCTATTGCTTATGATTTTTCTTTTTCTTCTCATATTGCCTATTACCATTTGTCCCTCTGCTGCTCAACGAACCTCTTGAAAGTCACAGTCTGTAATATTTTCCTTACATCTTATAAATGGCTATTTTCTTGACGCACAGGGAAATGTTTTCAGTGAGCAGAAGCTGCAATTACTGTGTGAAAAGATTCATGCCAGCACTTGGGCAGACTGTTCCTGCATTTATTCATGCAAATCTATGCATGAGTTTTGACCTTGGCCTTCAGCTAATAAAGGTCTGCAGCCTGCTTTTCAACAGCTCTGGTTTAGTGCCTTGGCAGTGTTAAGAGTTGGACAAAATGATCTTAAAGGTCTTTTCCAACCTAATTGATTCTGTAATTTATTTTTTGAGCCACTCTTACACTAATTCCTCAAGCTATCACTCTGTTTATCACCTTTCATTTTAATTTGCAATAACTCCTTTAACTCCTTGGTCTGTTCAAAATCCCTTATGTTAGCAAGACCTGCACTGAAAGTAAGAAAACAATGATTCTGTTTTTTGTATGTTCGTCTCTTCTGTGCAATACATTTTGTATAGATTGTAAGCTCCTAAGGGCAGTAAATGTGCTCTCCAGTACCATAAACTAGTATCATAAGCATTAATATTGCTGTATAAAATACTGCGTATCGTTACACGTTTCAAGGACTGAACCAAGATGTTTTTATCCTGTAGCCCTGCAGAGGATACTGTGAACCACACTGCCAAAGAGAAGTCTTTTTGTAAATCAAGGCAACTATACAGACATGTGACAACAGCAGGTTCAGCCCAACAGATATAATCAGCAATCACATGTTCAGGCTAACAAGTCCTGTTGAGGTTTAGATGAAGTTTAGATGAAGCTAAGAGATGGAGCTGAATAGCTCAGGGATAGGAACACCCCATCAATGTGAACACGCAGCTTCTAGGCTGACTTTGACACACATCTGTGGCTTGCAATGTGCAGCCTAAGAGCTTGGGTCAGCTACCACAGATCTAGAGATCAGCCCTCAGTATTACAGCTATGGACACAGTCAAAATGTGCTGGAGTTAGATGTATTGATATTAAATAGCACAAATCAAACACAGTAGCAAAGGCCTGTAGAAAAACAGCACTTTGCAAACATCACTGCATTTTCTTGTAGTAACTTCAGCTATTGAGGTGTCCACCTTCTGAGGCAGTATTCCCACTCAGTAAAAACTTTTACTGGTATTTCTGACATTTCCATTTTATCTGACTTAGGAAATATAATCAAGTGATGGATTTGACTGTTACATGGTAAGGATGTTTTATTGTATAACAATGTGGGGGGAAGCTGCCAAAGGATAAAAGGCTATCCTTAAATCAGATGGTTTGGATGTACAAGCTTCACACTGTAACCAGTAGTTCTGATCCTCAGTGCAAACAGTTAAAGGAACATCTATGTTGCAGTCAGAAGTGTTACAGCAGCTCTAGGAAACAAGCCTGGGCTGGTTTGGTTACTATTAGCAGTTTACTCACAGTGGGAAAAGCTCAGGACAAACTGAAAAACTGATCCTAGGTCCTGAATATATATATACACTCAGTGATTACCTGATGCTGAGCTCTGTATTACCATAGCCACAGTGCCGCTGGTACTCTGTATACTGAGTACGTCTTTTTGTTAACAGATAGTCATGCTTGAAAATGTCCTTTAGAAAGGATGTAGTGAACACAAGTTACACAGAATGGAGAGGTTCAGATGATATAACCTCGGATGTAGTAAAGGTACAGTAAAGATGTAATATATAAGTAATGTAGGCCCTGAATCTCTCTTATCATAAAGATGCTTTGTCTTGCTGTGATTAAATCAAGTCAAATTTCTCCAATGGAGTAAAAGGTTGTGTCAGACAAGCTTGTGGATTTCTTAATTTTTCAGTCCTACTTACAATTTGCTTGGTATAATCTACAGACTGCTTGTGATTAGAAAATATCTCCAAACAACTTGTAGCACTGCAATAAAGTACATTATAGAAACAATTCAGTATTTGCAATTGTATCTGAGTAAAAAATAATGGAGTTTTCCGTGTGCCCAGAATTCCAAAACAAAAGTGATTGTTCAGGTTTGTTCCTTCTCTAAGAACAGATTTTAAAAGCACTGAAGTTTTGACATAAATAACACCAATGTTGATGACAAAAAGCTCTTCCATTTGCCTTCTAGCAGTGACATCATCTGCCTCTGTGATAATCATGGTGGCAACTAGAAGCTCTGCAGCACAGTTTTCTGGTGCATACGGTAGACAAGAGTACACACACAGCACTTTCCAGCTCAGTCAGCAACAGCCTCTGAATTGATTTCACTCTGGAACTTGTTTGCTCATAGTCCTGAATATTGCCCGCACTGGATCAGTAACAGTGGCTCAGTCTGGAGCACTCATGTTCACAGACTCACAGAATGGTCTGGGTTGGAAGGGACCTCAAAGCTCTTCCAAACCCCTGCCACGGGCAGGGACACCTTCCACTAGAGCAGGTTGCTCCAAGCCCCTGTGTCCAACCTGGCCTTGAACACTGCCAGGGATGGGGCAGCCACAGCTTCTCTGGGCACCCTGTGCCAGCGCCTCAGCCCCCTCACAGGGAACAACTTCTGCCTTAGATCCTGCACTTCCCCTGTTTCAGTTCATGTGTACCTTTAATGCGGGGAGATTTGATCCTAATTATAGCCTTTCTTCTCACTTAAATATATTTTCTTTGGTGTGGTAGAGATACAGAAAACAGGATACACTATATTAAAAAAAATAATAATCTCTTTAGTCCAAAAAAATCTTGAGTTTGGATTAAAAGACAAGTTTATGATTCTAATTTTTTCTCCACAAACAAAAATGCTAAAAATTCTACTCTACAAATAAGAAATAACAGCAAACAATTGGAACTATTTACATCACATGGGCTCTTCTATGATGAGGCAACTTCCCTCCCAAAGGGATTTTAGCACCGGCAAGGCCACAATTAGGAGATCAGGTACAGTTGGAAAGACAGTTAAAAAGCCCTGTTCAAAGTCTGGTTGTGCTAATTTCTGTACTTTCTCTTAAAGTGGATTAATGACACTGCTTCCTCTCCTGAGGCTGAGAGTACGTAGCCAAATTCAGCCATCCTGCAGACTGACCTTGCAGTGAGCTTTTAAAAAGGCTGTAGAGAGGAGAAAGATAACATTTATCAGTTCAAAATAGATATTGGCAAAAGAAAAGTGTCCTGGCTCCATCTCTCTATATATTTAGCCGGAGTCATGTTCATGTCAAAAGAAAAAGGCTATTTCCTGTGCTCTCTTCATGGCAGCTAAAGCTCTTGCTTTCTTACAGGGAGCCCTTGGCTTCAAAAGACACAGCAATTCTGCTAACTCATCTACCCTATAAACTGTGGAGAGAAAAGCTGTAAGATGCAGGATGATCATAAAGCCTTTTCTTTAGGAAGATGAGAAGTAAAAGGATATATGGACTCAAAAACCTGTAACTTGAGGCCCAAATAGGTAAGCACACATCCTCCGTCCTCTGAAATATTAGTCTTGACAGCATTTGGATCAATAGCTACAGGAAGACTAGCAAAATTCTGCAACACCCACAACTACTGAGCTGACTGAGAACATTTCCAGTACCTCTTGGAAGTGGAGCTTCTCCATCCTTTTCATTCTTAGACATACTCAGAGCTTCTCCTGGGCGCTCTTCAGGAAGCAGCAGGAGCTGAAGCGGATATGAAGCCTACTTGTTGTGCAGGAGTTTTGAACCACACACATTTAAGATTAAAATGGATGTGGTGATTAGTAAGTTACTGTTTGTTGTATGAGTTTCTTCACTTATGAAATAGATAGAGAAGTACTTTTACAGTACAGGCCAGGGCAGAGGAGTTAAATGAACAACTCAAATACATCATGTTACACTTGTAAAAAGAAGAGACCATTTGCTACTGATATAAGCAGCCCTTCATGAGAAACTTGTGCATCCTCTGTAATATTCTGGTGGAAGAGAGCTTTATCAACCCATTTAAGCACCAGGAACACAAAGTCCTCTTTTCCTGGTATGAGAAGATGTGGATCAAAACCCACCTTAATCTGTAAGTTAAAACTTCAAATAAGCACATGAATATCTCCTTCTGACAAATGAAGACCTAATTTTCACTACATTTCACTATTTGAAAAGTTGGAGTTGGCAAAGACAGGACATATTAGGCCTCACTATGTGGTGGTTAGCCTATCTCCAACACAGTTATTGAGTTGTCTTCTCTTGTATGCCTATTTGCTCTCACCTCTGAACTACTGGTAAGATGGAAGTGAAGGACATCAAATATACTGAGTATGTCGTGAGCAGTAGAAGTTGCTGTTGCTTACTCTTACACGTTTTAACCACCAAACCTATTTGGTCATAGATGTGAACCAAATGGGTCTTTAATCCCCCCAACTCTTCCTTCTAACAACCACACTCAACCTTAGTGTATGTACCAAAGCACAGTCTCTGCTGATTTATATCTCTCCCTTTCTGACCACACATTCAGTAATGTAAAAAAGCCATTTGCTGAGTTGGAGCTGTCTTTGTCAGTGTGGTTATCTGGTTGATGTTTCACTATGATTTGAATACTAATTCTCTGTCAAGAATACCATTCTTCACCATGAAGTGCTGTTGTGACTAATGCCTGTCTCACTTGAGCCTTAAGAAGAATACTATTTTCTGCAGAATTGCAGGCAAGAGTACAATTACC